AAATACACATTGTATGTTTGCTGATTGTTTGGTCGGTTTAGTGTTAAGAAAAAGTTTGTTATTAATTAATTATTGTATATATTATGTTAATATACTATTTTGTTCTCACTTTTACGTGATAGAGCTATAATGCAGCAATATTATGATTGTAGTACGAATGGGTCGACTCAACCGGGGAAGGATCATGCTCTCACAGAATACCAGAGTAAAATAGCACCTTAATTCTGCTGTGTTTTGTATGGTGAGTGTAGAGAACCGGAGACCCTTTTTATTTGAAAGAAATCATTCCGTCTTAGTCCTCACGGGTGACAACGCATCTGCATTTTGAGACTTCATTGAGGAGAGATGTAGATGTCGATGAGTCACAGCAATCACTTACCATCAGGTGGACTATGTGCCCGTTTGTCACCCTATCCTATAAAAAAAGTTATAAATAAGTGAACTCTACTACGTAATAGAAATGAAATTCCAGTCTCTTAAGGCGACACCACGAAGCAATTATTTAGTCGAACAATCCACGTTTTCAAGCAACTAGTTTCCTCGCCAGACTGCGGGAGAGCGATTCGCTCCTGTAACTTCGTAAAGTTTATTAAATGCTCCCGGTTTCCTGTAATACTGTGAAGTGCTTGCGACTTCGAAACTTTTCATATTGTATCTTTAAGTCTGTTGATAGTGTGGTATAAGCAGAAACTTGGAAGTTTTACATGGTATTATATTGTATAACAAGACCGACTTAAGCTAACAGTTTTTGAAGTTAACATTAATTGGCTTATTAAATATTAAACTGAATATTGCGACTAATAAGGGATCGTGAATAGATACATTAGATTATATCTAAGAGAGATGTCGCACAAGATTCACATATTAATCCTTATCGATAATTATTACGTGTCACATCATCATCAAAGTTATCAAAGTTCATTACAAAACCACTGCTGAACATACACCTACCCCAAAAACTCCACAATACACAATCCTGAGCCACCTGCATCCATCGACTTCCTGCATCTTTTTTTTTTCTTATTTTAAATTTATTCTTTATACAAAATCATGTTTTTTTTTAGTTTATTTTAAACTATTTATTTATTTTCTATTTTTTATTATTTTTTATGTTAAATCCAACCCATCAATTTATTACATTACACAATTTATTTGATATAAAAGCTTGTTACGATATTCATGTATTTTATAAAAGCATTATTATTACTTATGTCAATATTAAGTTACATATTCTACACAAGCAAATTTTGCGACAAACTTTTGTATAATTTTATGTCATATAAAATGATGGGTTTGATTTAATTTAAAGTGTTTTCTTTTTTTAGAGAATTTAAATAAAATATTGTTTTATTTAAATTTTTTTATTAATTAACTCTTGATTTCTTAATTATTCTTTTTTTTAGTATATGGGTGACAAACGAGTACACAGTCCACCTGATGGTCAGTGTCAGCGTTCTCATCCCTGAGGACTAAGATGGAATGCCTCGTTTCCGGTAAAAGGGGTCTGCGATTCTCTACACTCACCATACGAAACACAGCAGTATTAAGTCACTATTTTAGGCTGGTATTTTGTGAGAGCGTGTTCCTGCCCCGCTCGAGCTGATCCATCCGTGCTACAACCATAATATAACTGCAGCGTGGCTCTACCACGTACAAAAATGTCTGTACTATCTTAATTATTCCTTTTATTTACTTTTACATTATTGTTTATTTTTTAATTATTCTCTTATATTTTATTAAAAAGAATCATGAAAATATCGAGTAACGTGCACAGGTACAAAATTTTACGGTCGAATTGTAAACCTCCTCACTGAAATCAGCTTAAAATTAAACTATTAATGAAAAATAAAAGTTGTTTTGTTAATGACATTATTATACATTATAAAGTCGCTGCTAAGACATAATATAAATATAAAACCATAAGAGCCCCGATTTCAAAATTTTAAGTTATTTTACGGGTCGGCTTTAGTAATCTGCTGCACGATTTAAGTGATCATTTTAGCTTTAGGTGATAGGCAATGATGCTATTGATTACCATCTAGCTGCTTATTATGCCGGAAATCTTTAGGTTTCGAGATATCGATAATTATAATTTTGAGATTATATCCATTTTAAAATGATACGAAAACGAAATAAAAATATAATTATTAGAGAATCTGTCAATGTGGGGAGGTCAAGGGGACTTACCTTAAGCGCCCCCATGCAATTTTAGTTGCCGGAGCTGCGTCGAAATATTTAAAATTATTTTCTAAAAATATTCATAAATCACTAATTAATACCTGAAACTGAACTTTTGACATTGACAGTCACAGATAAATTCGACCAAAGAGAATATAATCACTCCGTTCGTTTATTTTCGACTTCGCGACTCGCGTCGTAAGCGTCATTCCGTTGCTACCGAGTTTACGTGAATGTGCTCCTTATTGTTATTATCTGCCTCCTGTTTTTCGAGACCCCTCTGGAGACCGATTGCTTGCTATTTTACGACGTTTTTGGAAATGGTGGAAGTAATAAAATATGTTTATTTATTAAAGTAATTATAAAAGTTAACATTTTGGTGTTTTATTTGGTGCTAGAGCGAGTGAAGCGAGCTCGGGACTTGGGGCACCCTGACTCGGACAGGTTAGGTTAGAAGGGATGGCGGGGTTGAGTGAGCGAGCGAAGCGAGCAAACAGACCCCTCCATCCCCTTCATGGTTATTTTTTTATAAACCATGCAGAAATAGGAGGACTGCAAAGCGGGGCTCCGTCGACCGAGCTTCCTTTGCCTGCGCCACGTTGAGTAACATTGGGCTACCCTTCCCCAACTCTCTCCCCCCACAAAACAGGTTTATATTGTCAAAACATTACGAAAAACATCCTCATTTAAAGATAGGGAATTAGTTTCATCGTTTTCCGCATACACATTAAATTGCTTAAACGTGAAATTAAAAAAAAATATGTTCTTTATTTTTTTATTACTTCCCGTTCTGACAGCCCTAGCAATTAATTGTTTATGTCCGCTTTTCCGACAATATCAAACGTAAAGACTGACTGTATGTTCTTCTTAGGCTGTGAAACTACAATGTCGACTCAATAGTTAAATTAAAATCTTTATCTTCTGTTTTGCTACCTTAATGGGTGGGAAAGTATAACCTACTTAATAAAAATTTATCATCAAAAATCGAAGTTGTTGACGTGTTTACCTGGGACGTGGTTAGTCCGACTAGGTAAGTCCAACTTCAACCGAGAGGTCAATCGACGGATTCAACTCGGTTGGGCAGCGTTCGGGAAATTACGGCACATCTTCTCGTCAGGTATACCTCAAAACTTGAAAACAAGACTGTACAACCAGTGAGTGTTGCCAGTGATGACCTATGGAAATGAGACGTGGTCCTTCACTGCTGCACTGCTGGCCGGATGAGGAAGCTCAATGTCGCTCAGCGAGCTAAGGAGAGGGCTATATGATAAACTTAGAAATAAGGTTATCCGCAGTAGAACCAGAGTGACCGACATAGCCCAACGGATTAATAAACTGAAGTGGCAATGGGCCGGCCATATAGCTCGAAGAACCGACAACCGATGGGGAAAAAAGGTTCTCGAGTGGCGGCCTCGTACCAGCGGACGAAGTGTAGGGCGTCCCCCCCCCCCCCCCCTCCCACTAGATGGAGTGACGACCTGATAAGATTTGCAGGAAGTCGATGGATGCAGGTGGCTCAGGACCGTACTTTGTGGCATTCCTTGGGGGAGGCCTATGTTCAACAGTGGACTTGTGAAGGGCTATAATGATGATGATGATGATGATGATCAAAATCGATTCACAATCGACGAAGATACAAAATACAAACTTTAAAAAAAACATACAATCGAATTGAGAATATCCTTCTTTACCGAAATCGGCTTAATAGTCTGGTCAACAAGTTGACAACGTGAAAAATAGACGTTAAGCTCCTAAAAATATGAGCGACAGCTCTTTGAATTCGGAACGACCTCTAGAAAAATGTATTTTAAGGTCTTATTAACATGGAAAAAATTGCAATTGTTATTATTAACAAAATAAGATGAAAAAAAAACGGTATCCATTTTTTTGTTAATAACTTAAAACCTATTAATATTTAAGGAATTTTGTAAAACGATTATTATAGAGGTGAAAATTTCCTCCCGAAACTCTATCTCCATTATTTATTAATGCATATTAATTTTAATTTAATACTGAAAATGGGGCTCCGCGAGGCCTCTACGACATGCAAGTGAGTACATCAGATAAAATATTTTTTTGTAACATAATATAACGTTATTTTAAAAATTTGAAAAAAAATTTTCGTATCGTCTGGACAATTGAAAGAATAAATCCTCGCTGGAAAAAATTTCTCGAATTTTTAAAAAGTTATACGATTGTTAGCTCATCAATTTTTTTCTAATCTCCGTTCTTATAAATAACGGGAAAAATGTTTAAATAATTGATCTATAAATTTTCGGTTCTTGTTTTAATAGTATACACGTAATAAAATCACGCTATAAAAGTATATTATTTTGTTTATTATCATTTTTTATGACTAAATAAAAAAGAAATATCCCAAAAATTTAAATAATTTTTTTACAAATATTTTATGATTGCTGTTTTCACATCTAACAATGGCAATAACTAACACTGGTTACAATTTCTTACGTCATTTTTTTATAAATTATTTATAAAGAAATAGACAAATATATTATTTAAGAAAAAATGTTTTACCATTTTGTTTTCCTGACAAAATTATGATTTAAAAAAATCCTTAATATAATTTTAATTGTTTATAATCGTTTTTTTATTTCGATTGTTCAAATAATTAATTATGAAATTATTTTATCCTTAATAAGAAAAAATAGCATACAGCAATTGGTATTCCCGAAATAGCATCTACGTACCTATCTGTAACCTTAGCCTTATCTGCAACCGGGTTCATTCCAATAATATGCTCTCAACAAGCTTGTGCTACTTTAAAATCAGTTATTTTAAACATTTCAACAAACTCACACGAAATGACGAAGATTATATTTATATTTTGTTCTTTAATACCTTTCATATTTGCTCAGTGCACTATTGAAAATGTGGAACCCTTCTTCTCCAGATCAGTATACGACTTCTCCATAGACTTGTTGAGAAGAATCGCGCAAAAGACGGACTATCATTTCGTGGCAGCAACTCTCTCACCTTGGACACTACTTGCCTATACTTCCCTCGGGGCTGCCAACAACTCTTTAGAAGAACTCAACACTATTTTAAAATCGCATCCACACAAATGTTTCAATAACGAATTCTTCGAAATAACGAAAAGCGTTTACATACCGTCTGCCAATACAACGCTAGAAGGAACTTCAGCTACGTTCGTCGATGAAAAAATACCGGTAAAAGAGGTCTTCCAAAATAAAATTAAAAGGGTAGGCGTAAGTGAAGTAAAACTAGTATCGTTTGATAATTATGATTACGTTGCAGCTTATATAAATAATTATATAAAAACGGCAACGAACGCAGCTATCGACGAAATAGTACTCGCAAGTGATTTGAAAAATGTGGCTCTAATGATTATAGATGCTTTACGATTTAAGAGTACGTGGAAAATTCCTTTCCCCATCGGTAAGACGATAGAGAAATCATTTTATGACGATATGAACAACAAATTAGGTGATGTAAACCTTATGTGTTTAAAAGATAACTTCAATTTCAAATTCATGGATGAAATAAACGCCACAATTGTTGACCTGCCCTACAGTGACGACAGATTTTCAATGGTACTATTCTTGCCTAATGAAGGCACCAAACTGAGCAACGTCATATATTCTCTAAAAGAAATCAGTCTAAAATCAATATTCTCTTTTTTTAAAGAACAAAAACCTAAAGAAATAATTGTAAGGTTACCTCGATTCAAGATTTCATCAGACCTAAATAATCTAAAAGAACTTTTCATTGATATGGGATTGAAAACAATATTTGACAGTAACCAAGCCCAGTTCCCGGATACATCAGACCATCCTTTATATATTTCTAATCTTACTCAGAAAGCTGACATAGAAGTGACAGAAGAGGGCATGGTAGCAAATGCAGTATCGAAAGCAGAATTTTCGTCTATGAGTCTCCACACACACACTCTTCCGTTTATTGTGACTGCGTACAGGCCATTCTTCTTTATGATTGTGGATAAAAAAACTGTAATACCAGTCTTCGCTGGCGCTTACTCCAAACCAAGCAAGTACTAAATATAAAGTAAAATTATTATTATTAAATATAAAGTAATATCTCTCATCATTAATGCTGTCCAAATGGAACGGATCAGACTGCAAATTAATGTATATTTATTACATTTAACTTAAATAAAGTATAGACATCTATTATATTAAGAAACGATCTAATAATAGGTAAAAAAACAACATTGTTCTCTATAAATATATTTCAACTTTATTATATACACATAATATATCTATTAATAAAGAATATTTAATTACATGTTATATATTTTTCTTTATTAGTCGGTCCCTCACTAGATGTAGTGAAGACCTGGTAAAACTTTTTTTTTATAGGATAAGGGTGACAAACGAGCACACAGTCCACCTGATGGTAAGTGTAATGTAGATGCGTTGTCACCCGTGAGGACTAAGATGGAATTCCTCATTTCCAGTAAAAAGGGCCTCCGGCCACCTGCACTCACCAAGCGAAACACAGAGGCAAACCTCTACTTCACGCTGGTTTTCTGTGAGGTCGTGGTACCACCCCGGTTCGAGCCGGCCCATCCGTGCGACAGCAAAAGCTGCCGCATGGCTCTACCACTGTTAAAATGTCGATGGATGCAGGTGAATCAGGACCGTGTTTTGTGGCATTCCTTGTGCGAGGTTCTTCCTATGTTCTGCAGTGGACTTGTGAAGAGCTGTAATGACGATGATGATAATATGATTTTCTTTATGCCTTAGTGCAGGGCTGACTGTAGACTGTGTATCGTACCACCTGGGGTAATTCATGGTGTCCACCCTGTATTTTTATTCTTCTCTTTTCTACCGACTTTCAAAAAGGAGGAGGTACTCAATTCGACTGTATGTTTTGTATGTGTGTCACCTCATATGGGGTGATCCGATTTTGATGATTCTTTCTTTATTTCAAACCTAGTGCTTTTTATGTGGTCTCATATTAATTTGATCAAGGTCTGACTGATAGTTTTTGAGTTATTCTTAATAATTTATATTGAAGTCGGTAGTATAAAATTTTTAATTTTTAATTATTTATTTGCCAGAGTTGCCACGTTTGGTAGACATGTTGGGGTACGCCGTTTTTATTATATAGTTCTTACTAAGAAGACGCTGGTGTCTATCTGCTAGTTATCCTCTGCATCTTACGACTCCGATGAAACGATATGAGGTAGTGGATATCCTTACACCACCATTGCAACATTAATTTACATACATTTATTCTTAAATACCACTTCTAGATAAGATAGTAAGTTAGCATACACTGTATTTATAAAAGAGACACGACGTTGCATACGAATACGCTATTAACTATGTATCCATTAATAAATACCAGACGTGCTTTCATTATCTATGCGATAATAGTCAGCCTTGCATCATAAACAGCAAGTTTTTAGTTTTTCCATAAGATTATTGTAGAATTAAGAATAGTGTTAATTACATCTTAGCTGTCCAGACAAACATCTTAGACACAACATTCAATCACATCTTAACTGTCCAGCTAATGCTCTTATACAGAACCCACTTAAGTCTCCCGTTTGCATCTACAACTTATATAAAAAAATACATTTATTTGGTGTGCGAGTTGAAATTATTTCATCAACAACCTAATACGTGGTAGAGCCATGCTGCAGCTATATTAGTAGTATAGTTGTAGCACGAATGGGTCGGCTCGACCGGGGAAGGGCCACGCTCTCACAGAATACCAGCGTTAAATAGCAGCTTAACACTGCTGTGTTTCGCATGGTGAGTAGAGAATCGGAGACCCTTTTTACTGGAAACGAGGCATTCCATCTTAGTCCTGATGACAACGCATATGCATTTTGATTCTTTATCGAAGATAGATGTAGATGTCTATGGGTCTCAGCAACCACTTACACAAACCAGCCAAGCGTATACTTAAAAATGCATTTTTTTGTAATTCTTAATGAGATATTTATGTGTCTTTTACTGAACTAACGTTTAAATATTTTATTTTTGTGCTGTTATTTTATCTTATATACGCATATTACACATTATTTCATTTAAACCTTTATTTGTTATTAGTACCGTTTAGTTTGGAATCGCGTTTATCACTTTTCTATTACACCTTTGTACCTGTATTAGTTACCTACTCGTAGGACTTCTAATTGACTTGCTGTAGCTATTATTTACTAGCTGTTCCCCGCGACTTCGCCCGCGTGTAATTTATTACAATTGGATTTCATAGGTTTTCATTATCATGCGCGGAATCCTAATTGTTTTTCCAAAATAAAAGTAGCCTAAGTTACTCTTTATAACATCAGCTATCTGCCAGTGAAAGTCCCGTCGAAATCGGTCCAGCCGTTTCGGAGTTTACCCAGAACAAACAGACAGACAAAAATTTTAAAAATTGTAATTTTGTTATAAGTACATTATATACTTTCATATGCATTTAGTAAAAAGCTGTTATTTTGACATTCCAATAGACACTTCAATTTTATTCATTTGTATGTATAGATATCTATCTTGATTGTTATATCGGATGGTCTTTTAAAATGAACAAAAAAGAATAAAGCAAAAGAAGGGAGAGAGAATCGTAGAATTATCGTAGAATCAACATTACCTCATATAGTCCCAAGAAACGACTATTGGAATTATAGTCCGACCTCCTAGCCTCCGATCGGAGGTTAAAAATTTCATATTTAAGTTAGAGTGACAAAGGAGCACACAGTCCACCACCTCGCCCATATATCGCTTCGCATATGGATACATACCATAGTTGCCTCGCTTGGCAAGCAGGTTGGCAACCGCAGTTTTATTTTTAGTAGTCATTAGGAAGTAGCTGCTGCTCATCTCCTGGTTTCTTTCCTTTTGTCGCCTCTAACGACAACAACGAGATGATATGGGCTAGTGGATATTCTTACACCGCCACTACATTACTATGTTAAATAATAATTTAAAATTTAAAATTTTGTAAAAACGACATGAATATAAATTATTAAGAATAACTCAAAAACTATCGGTCAGACTTTGATTAAATACATAGAATAGAATAATTTTTTATTCAATATACATTACATGTGTAATTCTTATTGAAAGTCATTTTTTACTTTACCACTGGTTCGAAAAAAAAACCTCTGTCCTGGGAAGAACCAGCAAGAAACCCAGCGGGACTTTTTTTTAAAATAAATTTTACAATATAAATGATTACGTACTATTTACAAAATTTATTTTAGAAACTGCTTGGAAGCTTCCACCTCATTCCCAGGGGTTGTTATCAACCATGTATTCATTTATACTATAATAACCATTTTATACAGTTTCAGTTTAATAAAACATTTAAATTTGGTAATAGAGAGAACCTGTACACTTTCCGGGACCTTGTTGTAATAGCGTATACCTTGTTGTAGTAGCATATGGGACTACATGAAAATACCAGCTTTTAAATAAAAAAAGAATCGTCGAAAGCGGTTCTCCCAGAAAAAAGTTATGAGGTAACACACATTAAAAAACATACAGTCGAATTGAGTACGTCTCCTTTTTGAAGTCGGTAGAAAAGTTTATATTGTACCAGAGATCCTCCCCCCTTTCCCCCCGCGATTCCCCATTGGATCTTGACAACATGGCTTAATTAACCCGTACGCCTAAATCTTTTATGAGAGAAAGATACATAGATTATGCTTACCGACCAGTTATCGTCGGGTTTTTGAATTTATGAATGAAGTAAGTATAGTCTTTTATAAACATAGTAAATTCCTTTTTAAAACGAGTGACGCAAGGTTGTTTTTACTTTCGAAATATTACAACGGCTCTTATAGAAAGTACATAATATAAGGCTCATAGACATTTGGATCTATCTTCAAAATCAAAATGCAGATGCATCGTCACCCCAGAGTACTCAGCTGGTATGCCATGTTACCGATAAAAAAGTCTCCGGTTCTGTACACTCACCGCGCTGGAATTTATTTATTTATTTAAACTTTCATACACACAGTTGTACATATAGACGGACTTAACACCATAGGGTATTCTCTCCGAGTTAACCATTAGAGACTAAACAGAGATAGACATACAAGTGGCGGTGCAACAGTAATCAAAATAGAATAGAAAGGGTTCAAAATATTACATATTTTTTTATAGGATAAGGGTTACAAACGAGCATACAGTCCACCTGATGGTAAGTGGTTGCTCTGGCCCATAGACATATACATTTATCCTCGATTACGAATCAAAATTCAGATGCGTTGTCACCCGTGACTACTAAGATGGAATGCCTCGTTTCCAGTAAAAAGGGTCTCCGGTTCTCTACACTCGCCATACGAAACACAGCAGCATTAAGCTGCTATTTTACGCTAGTATTCTGTGAGAGCGTGGTCCTTCCCCGGTCGAGCCGATGCATTCGTGTTACAACTATACCAGAAATAGAGCTGCAGCATGGCTCTACTACGTATAAAGATATACATATATACATATATGTATGGGTATACATATTTACACACACATTATATATATATATATATATATATATATATATATATATATATATATATATATATATATATTTGTTAGGAATGAGGGTGAAACTATAATCTTCCACTTGTTCTAGTAGTATAAAGTATCGCGCAGTCGACTAAGAGGGATCAAGTCTGTAATTCTGAGAGTATCATGTCGTTATTATGCCCGTTTGGCACTGAGATACTGCCTAAGTAAGACAAGTGATGTGGTTCTGTTCGTGAAGTAGTTCTTCTAGTGTAAGCAAGGAAGGTGGTGTTGCTGAGAGGCTGCCCTATGTTATATTGAGATGACTAGTATGGCTGGTACTTTGCATACTTCGGTGTTATCATGTAATTATGTCCTTCACGTTACACCAATGTTTGATTGTGACTGGTACATATTACGGTTGGTCGAACTGTATTTGCTCTAAACTAAATGTGCTTAGTGCTGTAGGCTGTCTTATTCCTGATAATGATTAATTGCGTAAGCAAGAGAGCAAGTTGAACATCCGCTCTCACACTTTTATTATTTTTAACAATTAACCTTCAGAGTAAATTGTAATACGA